CATGTATCAACATGATAAAATAAACAACGAACTTGAAAATAGACATAAGAAATGATGAAATAAAGAATCTGTAAAATGAGAAAACAATACAAAGATTGAATTGAGAACAACTGAAGATGCCTTGATGAAAAAAGAAAAATATTAAGTTTGTATACCATATAACTTTCTATTATATTTACCACCAGGAATAAAATTTCGTAGAATTTTGTTTGATCTAGAAGTTTCATGGTGCAATATATATAGTACCACTTATTAACTTGTATCTTTTCTCCATAAGCCATGACCATAGTTGGCAAGGGATTTTCTTCTTCTTTTGATTTGTTTGTACAATTAAACAATGGGACTAATTTAACTCTAAGAACCCATTGATTGCTTTACTTTTTCTTTTTGTTTCTTCCAATGACATCAGTTTTTTATTTAATAATTCATAAATTTAACAAATTATGTGTAAGAAAGAATACTCTGTTTCATAAATGTGTCAAGCACTTATTTTCCTAGTATTACAAAACTTGCCCTAAAAAAAAATAAAACTAGTGTTCCATATAGATGACTGCATTCTCCATGTATATGACATTCGAGAAATCCCTAGCGTAACAAGTTTCTAATTATCTGAAAAACGCATCTAAAATTTTTGTGTATCCATGTAGTAAGCTTCTTATTAGCCTAAATAAGTAACTAAAATTTATGTCTATGGACTTAAACTATTGACTTTTGCTTCCTAATATGTTTAATTTATATGGAGCTGAGAGGATTCAAAAAATGAAATAAATAATAAAGGAGATAGCACTATATATCAACTACTTGCTTCTCTAACTGACTTGTAGGAAAGTGCTCCAATAGCAATAGTTATGGTAATGGTTTTTACCTGATACAATGGCTTATCACACTTTTAATGACCATTTGATGACCTGTTGGACTTATCTATCTAAATAGAATAATACTTAAAAGTTTGATAATAAGTTTTGCATTTAAAATAGTAAGTTAACATAATAAATTAGTAGGTTTGTGTTTCAAAAAGTAAATTGGAATATATATGAAGCTTACTTTTTTTAGAAAATAAATTACTGCTTTATATTCTAGACTTACTTTTTAGAGAGTAAGTTTAGTTCAAATAATAGTAAGTTTTTATAAATAAATGGTAAATTTTATTGATAACATAGTAAAGATGATTAATGATCAAAACTTACTAGTTTGTGGCACAAATTTACTATTTTACTTAAAATACTTATATCAAACTATTATTTGAAATAATGCTAAGATTTTTTTTATTAATGATTGAAACATAGTATTATAGTTAGTAAGTACTCGTAAAATATCAATATTAAAAATCTACTGTGTTTTATACATTTTAAATATACTATGAAAAATATTTTTACTTTTGACATAACCTTATAAACTACAGTATAACCTCTATAAATTAATATCCTTGTGACCTACAAATTCTATTAATTAAAAGAGGTATTAATTAATCAATAAATTTATAATTCATCAATTTATTGAGTGTACTTACAACTCAATCTAAGGAATATAAACCAATCCATATCTACTTAATTTGTAATTATAATTTAATTTTATTAATATCTTTGATTACATAGTAATTCATATCATTTTCCTATTATCAAGATGTCAAAAGGATTTAGGAATACTATATAATAGATGTCAAAAAGATAGATGTCCACTTGTATGTGGGATGCTCTCTAGTATATTCATTCAGATAATGCTTTACGCATTTGATCAATCATGGTTGATTTTGAATGAGATTCAGTTAGATTTAAGTTTTAAGGAAAAAAACAATATTTTGGGAAAATATAATATGTACTTTTAGTGAATTTTTAGTTTATGATATGAATGGGACCAAAGGTTTATATAAGGTTTTCAAAAAATTTTATTAGCTTATTATTTTATTCAATTTATTAGCTTGTTACCCTAAGTCGAGACTATAAAAATTATTATTTAATAGAAGTTATTAATTTATCAAGTATTATTTTATGGAGGTTTTACTATATGTAATAAAATTTTTTCATATTATAAAATTTGAATTATTTTTCAATTCTTGAAAACTTTAAAAGTTTGGAAAACAATAACAACAAATCTTCCTAGTTATATATACCGTAGCACTTATCTATATATCATACTTTCTATGATTTAATACCTATGAATACAATAAGATGATAAAGTTTTAATAAATTTATTATTTGGGACACAAGAATAAAAGTTAAACTTGTATTAATGTCACAAAATCATTGAAAATTATTGTAATTTTACCTAAATATTAAATTCTGTAACTTTCAAATATATTTTGTATTATTTATGTATGGATTTGTATCCATTTTTATCAAATTCATATTTTTTGTGTTGACTTTTAATCATATGTAATATAGGCACATTTTATATTTTGTATTTTATTTGTCCCAGATTTTAGTAACTATACTATTAATTTATTGTAGAAACTTAACATTATTCTTGTGAAGCTTACATAGCCAGAATTAGCGAGATTTATGGGAATAGCCTTAAGTTTTCATGGATAAATGATACGTAAACTGCTAAAAATTTCAATTTATAATAATCTTAAATTTTTATGGATGAATGGTATTAAACGGCCAAAATTGTTGTCTCACAGATGACTAAAACTTAATGCTTTATGGCATACATTTATTATATTAGCCTAATTGACCTAAAAGGTTAATTGTTAATTGACCATAATCATGTGTACATTAATTGTTGTTTTGAAATTTGCACGAATCTCATTATTCCCATTATTACTGGTAAAAGTACTCCTAATTAAAGCACAATAAAATCAAGTCTTTTTGCCATTTTGATGTAGTGGTTATATTTACTAGAAAATTATTAAACCATTCCTACAATATATAGTTTCCCCTAAAAGTAATAATATTTTGTAAATAAATCGAAATTATTTTATAAAAGATTTTTTGCTTTTTCACTTATATAATCAAAAGAATTTTGCACCTTTAAACAATAAATAGAAAAAATTGGCAATGGCATGAGTATAAAGGTGGAAAATGTAATACGTATCACATCATGAGTTTAGATATAATTTGTTTAAATAATCAGTAATTTATCCTTGGTCGATATACAGCGCATATTGATTTTAGGCAAATGAAAATATTATTTAGCATATGCCAATTATCCATTACCAAAATTTACAGTTTGAACACGATTAATTGAGCATATATTTCCTTTTATTAAGTAGCTATCATTTATTTTGTTAATTAGGCTAAATATATATATTTGGATAAAGCAATGCTAATGGAAATTCAATTATTGTTAATAATACTAATTTTACCTCAATTATTGTTAATAATACTCATCTTACCTTGGTTTGGACAATGAAGTGTCAATAACAACAATTGCTAAAATAGAGCATTTTTTAAAATTTTGAGAAAATTGAAAACTAAGTTCCAAAATATTTCACTTTTATTTCTTTAAAAAATCTCAACTTGTTAATTAAATTCAAAATAATTCTACTATAAAAAATATTCCTTCTCAAATTAACATCAATGAGTAGATGTGAGCTACAATATGATAAAATATCCCTCATACACATGTTATAGATATTTGAGAATTTTGGTAGAAAAATTTTGTTGTTAATATAAGATGATATTATAGTGTGCTAATTATTTTATGATTGTTTTGTATATAAAATGAATCTCATTTAAATTATACAATAGATTATATGTGTGCATTTGATTTTTTGTTCAGCAATGGATCTCATTTTTTTGAATATTCTCCTGGGAAAAAATTCAAGATCTTTTTTTTTTAATTATTTTTATACTAATTATTATTTGAGGTCATTAATGTCATTTATTAAACCGTTAGTGCTGACCGTTAATTAAGAGAAGAAACTGCAACAAAAAATAACATTAGGGGAAAAATGTAAATTCATTAGAAAAAATTAGTCAAGATAATTGTTAGAGTGAAATAGGAGGAAGATAATTGAGGAAAGTAATAAGCCCAGTATGCTTCATAATGTAAGGAAATAAGTGACTTTTTACTTAAAGCTGAAAATTTTTCTTTTATTTTTAGTAAGTTTAATTTACAGAAAAATAAATTTTGTCAAATAATAAGTAAATTTGATTACTCGAAACATAAATTTCTATTTGTGACTAAAAGTTATTGTTTATGAGATATAGTTATCAATTTTATTAAAAAACTTGCTAACACTAATATTAATCATTCTAATACAACATTAAAAAAGACACTAAAAATCCCAATGTGTCGTTAAAATTAATAGAAACCTATAACAATAGGTTGCTCCAATATCGTTACCATAACTATTAATTATAGCATCGCCTCTGACTTATAAACTAGCTATCCAACTGGTGGTGTGCTACAATTGAACTAGCATGATAATACCTATTTCTTCCGGTTGTAGTCAGAGTGAAGTTGGTACTGGCTTCTTCTTGAATCGACACAGGTTGCATGCTTTTTTACTTATTCTTTCGTATTTTTTTGTTCTCTTCCTTCTTCATTTACACTTCAATTTTTTATTGTTTCCACTGTTTCAACGTGTTCAATAGCTCCAAATCTTCATTAAAAAGAGGCATGGCTTCCTTGGCACATATAGGACATAGGATTCAAACAACTAAATCAGTAGAATTGTCATTTTCTTTACTCAAATAGTTACATGCAAAACTAATTAAACCTTGGTATATTCAAACTAATATACTTAAAAGCACACCAAAACAATTCCAAAAATTCACACAAACACATGCAAAATAAAACATTAAACACCACTTGTCACCTTATTCTACGAATGTCCCAATTTTCAGATCATCAACATGTCATTTGTTATTTCCTATGTTTTCAGACTCGGACCGGGACTCGACTCGGTCGAGATCAGGGGTCAGGGGTCAATGGGTTCGACCGGGGTCGATAGGGGGTCGACTCGGATGACGTCATATATACGTCATATATATATATATATATATATATATATATATATATACACCTGCAAATCAAATTTACAAAATATAACCAATGAACCCAATCATCTAAATTTATATCCAATTCATCAAACAATTCACCAAATTCATCCAAACTCACAAAATTTATAAAATAGAAATCCCATACATGATTAATCCTTAACAAATAGCCATCCAAATAAGGTAACAAGTTCATGTTCAAATGCTTGATAAATATCAATCTAAATAAAACATGTTCCAAAGAACTATCTAAGCCATTCTTCATCTTCATCTTCGTCATCCTTATCTCCAATTTCATAACTTTCGAAGTCGATATCATCAAGATCATCCTCATCATCAAGTTGCACAATATTTGTCTTTCTTATCTAAAAATCATTTAAATACTCATAAATAAAAATATTCAAAAATAGACACAAATTAAAAAGAAACTTAAATAAAGTTAGCAAATTTAAACTTACGTGATTGAGAGGCTTCATTCTCGCTAGTTCTAGGAAATTCTTCTTCAATCACCACATATAATACTATAAATACTACTAACACATAGTGAAAAAGGTACATATAATACTAAAACAGTTATCAACGAAAGGAAAACTCTGGTCAGAAGAGGGATATCATGAAAGTAGGACCATCATTAATTGATGATAATGTAAAACAGAATACTTGGGATGAACAAAGTGGCCATGCATAAAGTCCTCGGCAGTAGAAGTGTAACAAAATTTTTCCTCTCTATGTGACTAAATCCCACATCCAAGATTGTTTTAAGGTATCAATTATCACTTGGACCCCCATGTGAAAGACGGAAAAAAAAAGTTTGTTGCCCAGATCCAGCTCAACGTATCACTATTACATAAATCTGTCCCCAATTCAAAAGTGGCAAGCACGAATAATGCAGTTTCTGGAACCCACATAACAAAAATCTGTGCGTGGACGTGATTTCTAGCATAACTGAACAAAGAAGTGCCTGTCAACATCTCAGAAAAGCTAAGCTCATAATGTTACCCTTGAGATCCCATCTTACTATGAAACTTCAACCAGAAGATTTCCAATTTGATTCATAGTGAAAAAAATACATATATTTACCTACCAAATCGAACATTTGAACCTCTAATCTCAAGTGCACAGACCCAATTGGAATTGCAAGAGTTTATAAAAAAACACTTTTAGTAAGACTCGTAGTTTTGCAACTGATGAATTTTCAGGGAGTAAACCTCTAACCATAGAAGAAAATGGAAAACTAGGGGGAGGCTACAATGTGCTATTGCAAACTGCCTTGCCCGAGGAATTCCGGGCTTATGATCCAGCTAAAGAAACTATCAGCTCTCAAGGTTTTCAAGACTACATTTCCATGTGGATTCGCTTTGGAGATCCTTCACGTATATTCAGGGTTGCCGGTGATAGTATACAAGTTCAGGCATTGGGGTTTCATGGAAGGTCCTTTTAAAGGAAATTCCCCAACTAGAGAAATGGTTGAATTTTTTGGGATGGGCATTTTTGAGGTACCTGTGCTAATACCATATATCCAACTTCCAGTTTTGCTCTCTTTTTTTCTTCATCCAACTAATACTATCCTAATAATTGGACTTGTTCTCAAATTATGGTCCTGGAACAATTGAATGAGAACTCCAAGGTTGTGAAGGTGCAGTTCTTCTACGACCCTGGACAACTACTTGAAGGCCTTCTGAAGGGAAAACCATCAGATGAATATAAGATTAAGGCACTTTCTACTTGCCCATTTTTGCTACAGCAGAGTAACTTAGACAAATGAGCATGAATCATTCCTGAAGTGCTTTTCTTTGAGTTTCAAGTCAGATCAGAGTAAAGTGCTTTTAAACTAAATATCATGAACGGCCAGAATACTGGGTAAATAATCAAACATTGAATTTAGTTCTCAAATAAGCATTAAATATTTAAATTAAGCTCAACAATTTTCACAAAATAACCACAATCAAGTAACGAAGTAATACATGCAGAGGATAAAAAGGTTAACAACAAACTTTTACACCAAAATAAAAGGAAATAGATTTATGAAAAGTGAAAAAGAAAAAAATGGAATCTGGGTCGGCAGTCGATGAACAAGGAGTACCCACCTCAAACCAGAAACTGTGTGTCTTTGCCTCAAGGCCCTCAACTGAACTAATTCACCAGCTGCCACTAAAGGTGGTCTCTCTTCCTCAACAAGCCGCACGAAATTTGCCCCTGAGTAGCGACTGCCGACTGAAGTAAAATGCATAAATTTCAGACGCTTTCCTTCACAGGCGCTTTCCAATTAACAGACACACATGTCCATTAATTGGAAAATCTCAATTGACAACGGTGAAGGCTTTTAGATTTAGGGTTATTGGATCTGAGAAGAAAGAAAGAAGACGACGGAAACAGAAGCAGAGGAGCTGACCCCAGCCAAGAGTTTTTTTAATTTCGTCGGTCAGTCAAAAATTTTGACTGAAAAAAAATGGCCGAAAAAGGTTTAAAAAAAAAAAAAAAAAAAGCCGGGGTTGATCAACTTATCCGGTTCACCGGTCAAACCCGGTTTATGACCGGGTTTGACCGAGTTTTTAATACCCGAGTTTCTTAACTAACTCGGACCGGATGCCTGGCCGGTTCCCGGTTCGACCGGCCGGTCCGGTCCGAGCCTGAAAACACAGGTTATTTCTTGTCCCTTGCCAAAACCTATCACGTCTGATGAGATAATTGACATTAAAATGTTTTTCAAACGATTTGCAAAAAATGTTTGTGAAGATCTTGACCACAAAGGAGAACAAACAAATTGACTTGAAATCTGCAAAAGATATGTGATTATCCTTCTTGAGAATAAGAATGAACCTGTACCAAGAAATCTAATTGCATTAAAAATATCTATTGCTATAATATCTCAACATCTTTATCAAGTTTAAACGTTGAAATTTGCAAAAGAAATATGATTAGCCTTCTTGGCTTTAAGAACATTTAGGGCACCAGCAATATCTTATGAATGGAAACCCTACCCAAGAAGGGTAACTTTGTTAAAAGCATCGATCCGTATCATACCCCGGCATCTTTATCAAGTTGAAACGTTTCCGGTTTAACTTCGTCCATTTGGAACAATTTTAAAAGAAAGATATTCATCACCTTTGTGATATTGGTAGTTATGTTATAGAGCAAATCTTAAAAATGTAAGATGTAGTTAGTCGACAAGAGTTTAAGAAAATAGTACACTCTTTATTGCTATCCTTAATCCAATTGTCTTGATTATCTTGAACATTTAGAAATCCATAACTTGCTTCTCTGATCTACCACTGAAGAATGGAAAATGTATGGGAGTTGTATCATCTATATTATACGATAAGATCCTTGTCTCTACCCTCTAATAAACCTCCTCACGGTATAAGCATTAAAACAAGGATTAATCTTTCCTACATTGACAGTGTATATACTGTCAGCGTTGGATAAATGACAATTATACAAAATTTGAATTTGAAATTTTTCACATATGTCATAAATCAAACGGTGATAATGCATACACTGTCAGTGTATATAAGATTTACTCTTAAAACAATTTACTTTAAAATTGAGCAAAGTTGCACATCATAAGCTTCTTTGATTTAAATTTTTTTTTTTCTTCGAGTTTCGTCACTTGCATTGAGCCAACTCTTATTTCATGCCCAAATCCTTTTTTCATTGGACCCAATACTCATTCCATCTAAATAATCGACGGAAATATAGTTGAAAGGTACTTAGGACTTTTGTTAATAGTAGGAGGAAAAGGAGAATGGCTCTACCACTTAAGACCCTTTGTAGAAAAATTCTGTTTGAATGATTAGACTATCAAAAATTTTTTCCTTATAGTTTAGGGTTAATTACGTTGACCTTCCTTGAGGTTTGACCAAACTACAAATCAGACCTCCAAGTTTGGACATATTACGGAAAGCTCCACCATTCTAAGAATTGTATAACACCTAGCCCCTTGCCGTCATTGATCTAACGTTGACTGCAAGAGTTTCACTGCTGTCAGCCAAAATTTTTAATGAAAGTCCCAAATTGCCCCAGATCCCCATTGATATCCTTTGCCTGCTCATCCCTATCCGCCAACACTTCTAATTGGCCATGGATAAAACAACAGAAAACTTTGAGAAGAAAAAATTAAATTTAGCCCATCAAACACCCAAACCTCCCAAGATAAAAAATTTCCTCTTCCTCATGCTATTTGCTCAATATCTTCTATTGATTATCATATTTGTTCTTCCATCTCCTCTTCCTTCAATTCTCACAAAAAAAATGTCATCCAAATTGACAAAGTGATCATTAAAAAAGAAAGTATATCAAGCAAAAAAAAAAAAAAAGATCTGCTCTTCCTCATCCTCATGCCATCTGCTCAATGTCTTCTATTGATTATCATATTTGTTCTTCCATCTCCTCTTCCTTGAATTCTCACAAAAAAAAATGCCATCCAAATTAACAAAGTGACCATTAAAAAAGAAAGTATATCAAGCAAAAAAAAAAATAGATCTAGTAGTTGTAGCATATGAAAACAAAGGCAATGGTAGGGAATGTGGCTTAAGAACAAGTATTCTGATGCATTTTTTTTGTTTCTTTTTTCTTTGCTTTGTTTTTTTGTGCTGCTGCAAACCGAAGCGGCGATGTTGAGGATAAGTTTTAAAGGAGTGCTCCATCTTCTAGACTTCCTTTTTTTTTTGTTTCCTTACCCAATCGCTTGTTAATTGGTGGATGATTTTAGGAAGTAATGCTTAAAAAAACAACTCTTTTATTTAATTTGGAAATAGTATTAAATCAAGTGTTTTAGGTAGGCAAAATAAAATCTTTTGCAAAAAGGGTATTTTTGCCATTTCATTTTTTGTGTTTGTGGGAATTAGATGCTGTTACTAACAAGGGGAAACTGTAATATGACTAAACCTGGGGGTTTGAAATGTAATTTGGTTAAACCTCAGGGGAGGTAAATGTAATTAACCCTATAGTTTATTCATCTTCTTAGCTAAACTTAGTATAAGATATGTAGAGAAACAACAAAAGTTTTTCAATGAAAATTAATATTTTGTGTCTTTAAATGCCTACTTACCATCGTTTGTACTTCTTTGTTACATCTAGTATAGTTCATACACTTACTATGAAGTTTATTTTCTGGATAAAGGTATTAGATTCATGCATAGTTATTTACGCTGGCCTTATAATTTATAAGGAACCTGGTAAAAGTTCCAAGTAGATGGTCACCCGTTCAACCAATGTGTAAGTGATTGAACTATATTACTTATCTCAAAATATCTAAAATTTATAAATAAAGTGCTTTTTAGATACGTGCCATTATATTTAGCAAAATAGATTATTACTATATAAGCATTAATTGAAAACTTAATTTCATTTTATCATGCTTTTATGAACATAGATCATGTAGCCAAAGGTAAAATAAAATTATTTTGTTTAATAGAGCAACATGCTTATAAGAAAATAGCATTACTTGTTTTGTTATTTTACTTTTGTCTAAAAATAAAATAGTTCTTTAAATACTCAACTATTATATCATGATGATAACAATTATAGTTTGAAATAGCATGATGAATCGATAACAATTATAGTGTGAAAGTTAAGGTGATTTATTGTCTTTATTTATTGTACAATAAGAAAGGAAACAAATATATTTAATGGGATATTTGGCCAATAAGTGAAGACTTGGCAAAGTCTCTAATGTATTTTGGTACAAAAATAAAAAATTCCTAGATCATCTGAAACTCGATCATAGTCAGCTTGAACCGATGGGTTAAACAGATTTGACAGGGTATACACTTGAGTAGAAATCCAGCAAGAATTAGGGGTCAGTTATGGGTTGAATGGTATAACTGTCAAATTAGCCAGGCCGCTTTTTTTTTTTTTTTTTGGATTAATTGCAAAATACACCATTAAATTATTATTGATTTATAACTTGCACAACAAACTATGAATTGTAGTATTTTACTATCTTCATTTATAAACTTCTTTGCACACTAAACAATTATTGTGAATTTGGTGGGCTGAACATAAGTGAAAAGACATCAACAACCATGCAAAATATATGTTCTCAAATTTAATTTTAACCTTCTAGCACCACAACCACCACTACTCTTGCAAAGAGCTGAAGACCATCACAGTAATATCATTACCACAAAAACATTTTAAAAATTGGCATAAAAGTATTAGTCTTCTCGTCTTCTCCATTAGTTTAACATTCTTCCACAATCTGCCTCTTTACTTTTGTAAAATGATGAGCATGTTTAGTCTCTTGTTTAACAATCCAAAACTAGTTTCCACCACAATGTCAACTTTAGGTCCCTTATTACCAACCATAGACTACAACTCGCCCACACCGAGGTCATAATGAGCAAACACTATATCAAACTAGAATACCAAATTAACCAACCAATATAAACCCTACAAAATTGGAACCAAAACTAAAAATACGAATACAAATCCTATTATAATTCATCTTGAGTGGATTTAATCAAGATGGTAGATTAGCATTGTCTTAGAGGTTAGGGTAGAAAGAAGAAGGTGATTCAAAGTTTAAATAAAATTAGGGTTAATTACAGTTCACCCTCCTCGAACTTAACCCTTTACAACACTTTGCTCCCCTGAACTTTAAATATATATACTTTGCCCCCTTCATTGACTAGTTAAAAATTAATGATGAATTCTCCATTCAAAATTTTAAGAAGATAACATTAATGCCCTTACATAATAGTTCTAGAAAAATGCTATACTTTTAATTGAAATATGAAACATCTTACTAGTAAAATCACATAGTTACATGATTTAAAAAATTTTAAAAATAAAAGATGGTGTAATACAAAAGAATTTAAAAATTGTATCATGAAGAAAAAAAGAATTAAAAAAATCCTAAAACATTTGCACAAGATTTCCATCCCTTATCTTTCTTCCTTTAAATGTAAACAAATTGGTTTTGATAATTTTCATTTATCTTGCAGCTTTTCCGAGATTTTCATGAGTCAATCAGATGCTATTTGGTAATTTTATACCACATTCATATCTTACTTTGTATTTTGTTTGAATACTATATTTTTTAAAAACTGAAAATTTTCTAAATACATTTTTCAATAGATTTTTATTTTTAATCATGTTTTTATCTCATATAAAACACATTAAAAGTGCTACAATAAAAAATATAAGCAAATAATTTTCATTCCAAATGCACTAATTAGTTTTATTTCATTAAAAATAAATATTGCTATCGGTATTGAGATAAATACATTGAGTAGCTTAGACTTCCTTTCTGTGAATTATCTAATTCATTTTAGTGCTAAAAGATTGAAATGTATAGTGTAATTGTGTTTAGATGCATTTAGCAACTATTAAAGAAATCAGTAATTATTATAGTACAATTATTATGTGTGCTTGAAAATTAGTTAGGGATATTTTGATAATAAAAAATATAA